GTTTTCCTAGTATTGCATACCATACTTAGTTTCTGGAAGATATATAAAAATCTTTTAATAGTGCTTGTCTCTAAAAGTCAGTTTTCTTCCCATCCTGTGTATGCAATTTTTTAAAAAAATTTTTTAAAATAATTTATTTATTTGGTACGGGGTCTTGCCATGCAGCTTGGAATCATAGTGATTCTTCTGTCTCAGCCTCCCCATCCCTGGAGATTACAGGCATGTGCCACCACGCCTGGTTTCAGAGGCTAGTATCTTGGGCCCGAGCCTCTGGGGCCTGTGAGGCATGCAGTACAGGGGATCGATTTTGGGTCTTTGGCACTTGCCAGGCACGGACTTAGATTACTAAGCTGTCTCCCCAGCCCTGCATTTTTTTTTTATTTATTATTTTTTATTTTTTGGTGGAACCGGGGATTGAACTCAGGCCCTTGTGCTTGCCAGGCAAGCGCTTATTCTACTGAGCCATCTCCCTGGTCCTTCCTACCCAACTTTTTTTTTTTGAGACAAGGTCTCACTATGCAGTTCAAGCTGAGCTTGAACTCATTATGTAGCCCAAGCTGGCCTCGAACTCATGGCAGTGCTCCTGCCTCAACCTCTGCAGTGCTGGGATCATAGGCCTCTGCCACTGTATGCAGGGCAATCTTTTGTTTCACTGTGAGCATGAATTGATTTTTCAGCACAATTTAGGTAGTTTAAAATAATTTTTCCAGCGGTGCCTGATAGCCTCTGCCTGTAATCCTAGCACTCTGGATGGCTCAGGTAGAAGAATCATTAAGTTTAAGCCCAGCCCCAGCAATTTAGTGACTTATTGGGACCTTGTCCCAAAATAAAAATAAATAAATAAAAAGGGGCTGAGAAATGTAATTTCCAGCGGGAGGTCCTGGGGTCAGTCTCCATTACCAAGAAAAAAAAAATTAGTTGGGTCTGGTGATGCGCACCTGTAATCATAGCACTCAGGAGGCTGGAGAAGGAGGATAGTTGTGATTTTTGAGGCCAGACTGAACTACATAATAAGTTTAAGACCAACCTGAGTTACAGAGTGACCCTGTCTGAGAGAGAGACAGAGACAGAAACAGAGACAGAAACTGTACATTTATATACATGTATTGATGCCAAACTGTATACTTTTGCACAGTAATATTTGTCTACATTTTGAATGAAAATTTAGAAATAGAATTTATAATTTTTCTGCTTTCCCATGTATGGTATAGTCATGGACATCAATTTGTAAGTTGTTATGTAACCAAAGGGCATTGGGGGGTGCTAATTAGAATTGCAAATCTCAGACTGGTATGCATCATTCCAGTGATCATAACAGCAGGTATTTTTTTCTCCCTTTGTCATGGTCTTCACCTTTCCTCATTGTATTTTATATAGCCTAACTCTATCATTTCAGGTCGTTTCCAACTTTTTTTTTTTTTTTTTGTATTTAGTATAGGTTCCACAGGGTCTCACTACACAGATTGGATTTGTAGCGATCCTCGTGTTTTCAGCCTCCCAAGTGCTGAGATTACAGGCGCACACCACCTTGCCCAATCTCAATCGCCATCTCAGTGCTCCCCGGGGGTG